TGAGTGGATGCCATATTTATCTTTATTTGTAAAGGCTTTGGTGCTCCAGGCATGGGACTACAATGCCCACCCCCCCCGCCAGCAACAAGGGAGCCTTATGGGACTTGTGATCCACACCTCTAGAAAGCCAAAGGTTCCCTGTATGTAATTTATGGGCCTCCCAACCCACCTGGATGGAGAAGGGCTGTTTTTCTAATTTAAGCCACATTTCACTCAGAGAAATTTCCTGATGGGTAGCCTGGCAGGGGGGGGGGGCGCAGTCAGCCAAGAAGTGATGGCGGCTCACCGTTTCCTTCGGCACCTGTTTTCAATGGAGGCATCTCACGAAATGACCTGCCGGGCCATCAAAATTTAGGCCAACGAAAGAACTGTCTTAGTTTAAGGGGCTAGGAGACCTTTGGCCGGTGTTCGATGGAATTGTTTTCACTACCAATTTTTTAAGCAGAATATTTTTTAATAGTTAACATGCACAAATATTGATTGTTATATATCTCTCTCTTTTCCCTATGCATGGATTTACTCACCTCTATCAGCGCAGTTAGGTTTTGGGCACACCTCCTGTTTACAGGAGAAGGCCAGAGCAGCTACCCTACATCAGAATTTGAACTTGGGTGGAGAAAGTGGAGGAAAAAGACAGAGAGAGGTGGGCAAGAAGACCGAGACCAAGAAGGGATGAGGAAGCAGGAAAACCGTTTCCCCCCATAGATGATTGACAGGAAGGAAGGGCAGGGTGTTAAACATTATTTATTTCTATTATTCATCAGAATAAACTATTTATTTATTGTAAGTTATTGCCGACAGACCACTAAGGAGAACTGATTCTCTCTCTCTCTCTTTTCTTTGGTCAAAGAAAATCAAAGCTTATCTTGGCCACATCCAGGAGAAAACAGACCCCCGGCTAAGCAGTTCTGATTTGTTAAATGCCCTAATCCTAAATAGGGTTACTTTAGATTAAGGTTGCATTCAGCACAGCTTTCATCTGAGAGGGTGCATCCAAGCCGGGGGGGGGGTGTGTCGAGAGAGAGAGAGAGAGAGAATAAAGATGGAGAGAAACCCAGAATTTGAGAAACAGTACAGAACTGGAGGATGCTGAGCACAGTGGAGAAAATAAGAGAAAAGTGGGGAGTTGTGCCCAATCTGGGGTCCCCAGATGTTCCTGGACTATAACTTCCAGAAATCCTGGCCAGCACTGCTCGTGATGAAGGCTTCTGGGAATTGTAGTCCAAGAACATCTGGGGTTAGGAATGTCTTGGTGTAGAGGAAAGAGGGAAATATCCCACTTCGGGCAACCCCAAGCTGTGCACATGGAAGCAGGAGAGAAAGAAGGTCAACATCGGTGGCTCCGACTGCAGTGGGGCGCCGAATCCAATCCGGGTTTTGAACATTGAAGGGGCAATCTGGAGCGTGGTGCCTCTTTCATGGAATAGCTTCCAGCACCATGGAGAGCTCTGGGTGTGAAGCTGGAACCTGGAATCACAGCCCCACTGACATCGGGGCCACCAGTCGCCACTGGGACGACCCCATCCCCAGAAAAGCCACCCCAGAAGGACTAAGCATGCTCAGTAGACACAAACTATTTAGCAGGGCAATAAGCCAGCTGAACAAACTCCTGGTGAGTTCTGTACAGGAGTTTCAGGTTGGGAGTTTGAATCCCCTCACGGTGCCTCTTTGAGAGGGGCTAGACTGGATGATCCATAGGGTCCCTTCCAGCTCTGCTGTTCTCAGAAGATTCACAACAGGAGAAATCTTCACTGCAAGCCATATATCTGCAGAGCAAACCAAAGAGGATCTTGTCCAGGAACTGAGCTCTGTGGAAAAACCCCGAAATGCAAACCGGGCTCCCGCAGTTCAAGAACCGATTGGGAAACCAAGAAGGATGCTGCAGGTTGATTTAGGCAAGAGTTGGCCTAGTATGGCAGTGTCCTAAAGTGGCATGGCTGGAAGGGTTCCGCAGGGTTGTCCAGTCTGACCCCACAATGAAGCTCAAAGATGGCTCCCCAAACCTCAAACGAATAGGGAATTCCATCACCTTCCAAAGCTGAAAGCTGAGGGTAACGAGTGGAAATAATCCCAACAGCACCCATCTTCTCGCAGCAGGAGGAGAGGAAGGAAGGGGTCCCTAGTGGCTTCCAAATAATGGCGGACTGCAATGGCCATCCTCCTTGCCCATTGGCCGTGCTGATGAAGGCTGGGGGGCTCCAGCCAGATCCAGGCGGCCTCATGTCTGGCACATGCGGAATCCGGCTTTCGAAGACAACCCAAGCTTCTAGGATCACCTTGGGGCAAAGGGGGGGGGGAAGAATTCCAGGCGTGGGTGGGTGAGAACAGAGGGGTGAAGCCATGCAGAGAGCGAGGGGACAGGTTGAGGCGTGGATTGGTCTCGATTTCTTAGCTCCACTGATGCTCTGCCGTCTTTCTCCCCCCCCCACAAGCTTAAGTCTACCTGAGCTCTCCTCCTCTCCCCCTTTCCTTCACATCAAGAACCCTGTGAGGTAGGACA